CCCCCCCCCCCCTTTATTTCCCTTTGTCATTGCTTTCAAAAGTCTCACCAGCTTCCCCACCCAACCTCTCACACTTTCCCAGGCTTGACCTTTCTTGTATCTTACTATTCCCTGCTCTTTATCCATATATTTCACCATAAAACATTTTTCCTGCATGGCAACCCCTCCTACCAGGAGCAGCAGAGCAGTCAGCGAGCTGAGACTTGGCACCACATTCATTGGGATTCCAATTTAATTTTTACACCCCACCCCCCCCAGCTCCTGAATCAATGCCAAAGGGAACGCTCATTTTGGCAGTCAAGTCTCCCAAAAGAAAAGTTACAGCCAAAGTGCTGGGGGTGGGACCAAGTCAGCCTATTAATAGGTTGATTATAACATGAATTTGGGGAACTACTCCCAAATATGCTTACCCTCCTGGACCTAGGGCCCTCAGGGGTGGAGTGGAATACTTAAATCAGCACTTTCAGCTTCTTCGCTGTGTTTGGAGCCAGGGAGGGTGGAAAATCCTGTCTGTACCCTGCCTGGCAAAAACATGGTTTTCCAGAAGGGTGCCTGAGCTATTGTTTTCTTCCCTTCTCCCCCCAAAAGCCTGTTTTCCTCATAGTTACATAGCAGCTCCCTCTGCTTCATCAGAGAAGACCTAGAATTTGAAAGTTTCCACCTTGGATTAAAACGGTTGATAACAATTTTCCTGTGGAAAATCCAGAGCTACTCTGAGAAGCAACACAGAACAAGGTAAGATGCCTCAAGAGCCTTCTCACCACCAGCTTCTTTGGAGCACACTGGACTGCTGAGGAAGACAGACTCCACGGACAGCCAAGGAGCAAAACTTTTAGGATATCTGAGAGCATTTAGAGGACAAAAGGTCGGGCTGAGGCAGCAAAGTTCTGATTTCAGGACACAGTCAGATTGCTGTACCTGTTAAATCATGCTTCCTCCTTCCAGGTGGCAGGCCACAACCTAAGACCCCTTTAAAACTGAGGCAAATAATGTGCAATGGCAAATGGGAGAGCCCAGAGGCAGCAACAAGTAGTATATGCATACTCCATCACAGCTACCACCACCTCTCCAGCACACCCACAAGGCTGCTTCTCTGGTCTTCCTGAATAATCCCAACTGTCTTTGCATGTCTCCGCATTTTCCCATCAACAGACCTCTGGTCCCAGCCCTGTGCCTCATCCAGAGAGCCAGACAGATGCAGAGTGCAGCTCCTTGTGACCCTGACTGATATTTCGCTGACCAGCATGTCAAAGCCTTTATGGAAACTTTGAAAACTTATGCTGCAGAGATGTTCAGAAGTTCCCAAGTTTCTCATGTCCCAAGCTTGGAGAAGTTGAAGGAGATCCCAACTACATTAACTTCTCACAGTGTCTGTCACATTGGGGCCACACTGTATCAAGACCAGCAGCTCTTACCATTAATGCACAAGTAACTCTCCCTCTTGCTAGCAAGAGAGGGAGAGAGATAAATGAGCTCTCCTTTAGTTGGGAAACACTTGGCCACTGATCAAACCTACACAGTTCTACTTTATTGATGTAAAGGTGGAAAGACACACAGGCTGCAGAACGTGTCAATACACATTATACTCATCTGTCAGGAACCAAGGAAAAAGTAACTAGTTTACCATTAATAGACACGCTTGGCAAGACTCTCCTGTAACACAAGACACTGAAGCATCTACATGCTTCATGGTTTGGATTCATATGCCAAACAAAATTGCAATCACCTTGCCAACAAATGAGAAGTTACTAAATTTCATACATCTCAGATTTCACCCCAGGTTTTACAACTCTTTGCTGCCTTCGCATCACCCAAGGCATTTCAAAACCTTGCTGCAAAGGGAGAACTTGAGAGTGCACTGTTTCTAACACGTGCTCTTAAATATTTAGGCCTTGATTCTCGAGCAAATCCTTTGCTTCTAATGACAAGCTTACTCACATGGTTAAAGGCAGACACACAGACTTTGGCAGGCATGAGATCTTAATGCCTCTGAACACAAACCCACAATCTACCATCAAGCTCTCTCAAACCAAACCTGCACACTGTGTGTATATATAGCTGTATCTATAAGTGTACCAAACTTTCTGGACAGAATTCACTTATGGAAGAGCTGTCCTGTCACACCTCATGGCACAAAGCTGTGGCACAGGGGAACCCTTTGGTAGTCACCTCTCCATCTCCCTAATCTTAAAGGCTACACTGGAACTGTCATCACAGTGAAATTTTAAATTTTTTTAAAAGAAAGTTTCTAAGGAAAACCAACAGAGATTGGTTCATTTTTTTAAACCCTAGTCATTAAGTTAATAGGAGCACTTCCATTACAGAAGGGGATATCTCCTTCACATTTTACAGAGAAGGAAAATACAGCAGTGTCCAGACCTAGTTCACCCAAAAGGCCTTGAGTTCTTCCATTAAGCCAGAGGACAACATCCAGGAGTCAACTCCCAGACTTGAGCTTCAACCACTAAATCTGCTTCAAAGCAATTCCCTTGCTAAACTAATGGCTGCAGGAGACTCTTCCTTACATCCACTTAAACCAGCAGACACTAATCTCTCCATCTGCAATAGATATGCATACCATAGGGGTCTGGACAGGATAAGCAGAACAGATGTTTAAGTGCACATACAGTCTGGGGAATCATCTTCAGAGCTCAGCTGCTAGCTTCACAGTGCACAGGAACGAAAAGATTTCTAGAGAACTTCACAGGACACAGGAACTAAGGTGACCGAGACACCAGTCCTTTCTTGTACTCTGAGGCTGAGGGAAGCATTAACCCCATCAGGAAGGTGGAAGCAAGCATGCATAAGTCATAACCTTTGGATTTTGCACAGTCCCAAACACTCCCAGATACATATGACCTAGCAAACTGATCCATACCTATGACAAAAAGAGCATCACTGTACAAAACCAAACCAGGAGCAGGACAGCACTGCCAAAAAAGCACACACATATGCTCCAGTACCCATTAAAAATATTATTTCTAAATGTCTGAACTGCTGGGACATCTCAGCTGCATCAAGGCAATTGCTTCAGCAGGACTAAATGCTATTTCCCTCAAGCAAACACAAAAATGTGGAAAACTGCCGACCTCAGAAACAAGGAAAGAGTCCCCAGTCACTGGAAGGAGCTTTCAGATCCCATGGCATAGCTCTCTGGCTAAACTCTCAAAGGTAGCCCCAGCCTGTCATGGTAACAGGCCTCCAAGCACGAACACCTGAACAAGCATTTCAACTGCCCACAAAAGGGCAGGATCCAAGCAGCAGTGCTTGATCTGACCCAAGGGATGTTTATTCAGGTTTCCTGCACAACTCTTGGCTGCACAGGGCAATGAGGACAAATGGATGTTTTCAACAGCACAATAGGTTTCTCACATAGGGCCACTTACTTCTTCCTTCAGTCCCTGACACATGGGCTGCTCTCAAAGTGGCATCTGCCTTGTACAAAGAGCACAAGCCAGCCCCAGCTACACAAGGAGGCCTCTGCCCTTTCCTCCAGTAAGGAGACAGGGCAAGAAGTGCAGAGAAGGATCTTAAACAAAGAACTCAAAATCACAGAATCATCTCAATTGGAAAAGACCTTGAAGATCCTCCAGTCCAACCATTAACCTCACACTGACCATTCTCAACTCCACCAGATCCCTCAGCACTGGGTCAATCCAACTCTTCAACCCCTCCAGGGATGGGGACTCCCCTCCCTGCCCTGGGCAGCCCATTCCAACACCCAACAACCCCTTCTGCAAAGAAATACTTCCTAAGAGCCAGTCTGACCCTGCCCTGGCGCAGCTTGAGGCCATTCCCACTTGTCCTATCACTTGTTCCTTGGTTCAAGAGACTCATCCCCCCTATCTGCACACTCCTTTCAGGGAGTTGTAGAGGGCCAGGAGATCTCCCCTCAGCCTCCTCTTCTCCAGACTAAACCCCCCCCAGTTCCCTCAGCCGCTCCCCATCAGACCTGTGCTCCAGACCCTGCACCAGCTCCGTTGCCCTTCTCTGGACACGCTCGAGTCATTCAATGGCCTTTTTGGGGTGAGGGGCCCAAAACTGAACCTACCCATGGAGGTGCAGCCTCACCAGTGCCAAGCACAGGGGTCAGATCCCTCCCCTGTCCCTGCTGGCCACGCTATTGCTGACACAAGCCAGGATGCCACTGGCTGCCTTGGCCACATGGGCACATGGCTGGCAATCATCCCCCCAGGTCCCTCTCTGACTGTCTCTCTGACTCTCCAGCCACTCCTCCCCAAGCCTGTAGCGCTGCTGGGGGTTGTTGTGGCCCAAGTGCAGCCTCACCAGGCTTAGCCCAATGACCAGCCTGAAGTTGTGCCATCAGGTCTGTTTACAGAAACACACAGGACTCCTCTGAAGCAGGGACCACCTCCCATACACACAGAGGGGTTCAGCTTGGTAACTTTGGAGAGACTAAGACTCTCTCAGTCACACTTATCTATACCACTGGACTTCAAGGGCTTGTAACCTACCTCAAGTGCCCCAAGCTGTAGTATCGCGACTCTCCGTCCGTCGACCGAACTACCTTGACAGTGAACATGGGCTGCAGCTGCCGTAGCTCCAGCAGCACAATGGCCAGGTAGTGAATGAAGAGCAGAGCATCCACCAGAGACACCGCATACTGTACTATTCCTTGGTAGTTGGTGTCCTTCGAGTCCAAGATGCGTACGCCGTAAAACAGCCAGTAGGAAAACACAAACAGGAATATGAGGACCAACAGAAGGGCCCGAAACACAAACACCCTTGGTAAATCTGCCTTGGGCTGACGGAAGAACAGAGCCCAGGTCCCAATCAGAAGAATGAGGAGTTTAAACGCCACAGAGATGAAAAGTCCCTCACAGACAGTACCACACGGCTCCAGATCATCCCGCCACAGGATCTGGGGTAACAGAATGAAGGCGATGGGGGTAAGGAAGACAAGGAGTCCAAGAACAGCTGCCACTGTTAAGCCCAGGTAACGTTTGCAGTCCAACCCAACGCTGTCCTCCAGATCCTTACTGATCCGGGCAATGTCCTCCTGGGAAATACTGTGCTCAGAGGTGCCTGTGATTGCTGTTGTGGTCTCACCCCAGTTGTCATCCTGACAAAAGAAGAGATAAACAAAAATAATATTGAAACAATCAGGATATTCCTTCCAGGTCTTTTTTTCTTGCCGGGAAAAAGATTGCTACAACAGACTTAAGTCCCAGAAAAAAAAGTGCAGCAAAAGCAACACTTTCAATATATTGAATAATCAGCCATGAAAATTAGCAAAGGTTTGGAAACAACAACAATTTGTCCAAACCAGTGACTATAACCATTAGGTGTTAAAAACTGTAGAACAGGTAGCTCAGCTTGCTATGCCACTCACTGTACCCCAGAGGTTCCCTCTTCCAGCACACTTAAAAAGTAATATCATATAGCTCTTGGAAACTACAGTAATCATCAGTTCCCATGTGCAGGGCAAGGACTAGCTCTCTTTCAGCCCACAAATTCCGTGGTGCAAGTGTACCACAGAAGCACCTGGAAGGGAAATTTTCATTTCAGTGTTTCAAGCCGGTTGTTGTTGTTACACAACCAAAAACATGTTCACACATTATTTTTCCATCCATAAAAGAAGCAACCGCACTTCCAGCAAGTTCCTCCACTTCATTTTCTTTTATTCTCCTTGACAGTGGCACTGCCCTCAACAGCTGACGTTCTAATAAAATTTTAGTTAAACCAACAAATCACAGGTGGTCACAGAGGGTATTTTCAGGTATGGGGCTTTAAATTTAGAGGATTTTAGTCGCTCTTAGAGGACCAAGTAGCTCTGGTATTACAGTCCAGGACACTGTCAGAAGCCACTTGGCCACACAGAAGCTTACCTGAAATATAGCTGCCATATAGTCAAGCTTCAGATTACATTATGTTTTCTGAAAGTCTCATTTCTTCCCTAGCTAATATCAGAGAACTTCTGCAAGCTACTTCTCCCATCCCACGATGCCTCCAATTGCTCCTTCCTGGTGCTGGTACGGCCAAAGAGTTACACTGACATGTATGGATTTGACTCACAGCTGCTGCTGGAGTGACTCATGCACACGAATGCTCCTGATGCTTCCCACAAATGCACAGATACACATTGCCAAACAGTGGCAACGCATGTGCTGTGTTACTTGGTGTCTTCATAGCTGCAGCCCTCATTCAGAAGCACACATTTTTGCTCTTCTTCCTACCCCTCCTGAGTGTATCTTTCTGCAGTCTGTGTCATTAATAGGATTTACACCTTCCCCCAGACTTCTGCAGCTACACATGCTGATCAAACCATACTGTTTTAAGGAAACAGGAATAATTTTAAACCTTTATTCACTAGCTTGAAAGAGTCTTGAAGAATCTTTGGGAAAGCAGTAGCAAGAAGCAGCACAACTACTTTTAACAACTTCAGGGATTTCACTTCTATGCACTCCAATACATGGATACCTCCCATGCCTAGAGCAGTAGGGTTTTGAGACAGACCAACCACAAACAGTCAGCATCTTGAATTAATATGAGGGGGTTTTGAGTCACTTCTCACCAAAACGCAGGCCCCAGAAGAGATATTTGCATTGTAGCATGTCCTGAAAGGCAGCATAATCCTATCACATTTCCCTCTTTGCTAATGTCTCCAGTAAAGCAATCTAAGCATTTCAACAATTTTATGCTTATGCATGAAATAGCTCTGTTTCTTCCATTTGATGAACTGAGAAACTGTGCAGAAGAGAGAAGGTTCAGAAACACCACAGCATCTTAATGCTACAGCCCAGAAGACAATAGGTAATCCTAGTCTCAGTCTACCCCTTATTAGAGCTCTTCTCACTTAAAGTAGCAGAAGCAAAAAAATGTGCAGTTATAAGGAAATATGAGCCTAAATCTCTGATGGTACAAAGCTGTTGGACCCAACCCAAGCCACCCTGCTCCCTAAGAGTAAAGTCTTGCACATGCATCAACTTACGTTGCTTTGGCTTTAATTCACATTGAGGAGGTTTACATGGAAATATGGGTTTAAGAATTCACCAGCACCTTTAGATCTATTTGAAGTAATATCTGGGACTTATGAAAATAAGCATCTGATTACAAAATACCAAATGGCAATACATGAAGTGAGTCCACTGGCAGCTACATGGATACTGTTATCAGTACAACCATACACACTCTGGGTAGAAAGTGGGTATCAATTATTTTATTTTTGAAAGGGCAGATGTGGAGCCTCACAGCCAAGGATTAACACACACCAAATCCAACCCAGGAGGCACTGAAACATCCTGCATTCCATGTCTTGCAGCATCAGCCATTCTTTGAAAATGAATATGCACCTTCACATCGAAGGCTAAAGCAGAGTACAGGATCCATCCTGGGTGCAATCTAAACTCAGAATTATTCGATTCTTTATTTAAGCCAGTGTTAACATACCAGCTTTCACTGAGTTCACCTTCCTTCCCAGCTATTTCGCATTACTTTTACATTTCTCATCTCCTTCCCCTACTGGGATCCTGGTCCTAATGTGCTTTACGTGATTACCTAGAGCAAATCCTGCCTAAAAAACAAACGTGCACGTACAGGTGAAAGCACTGACCTGAATAATGCACAGTGAGATGATGGAAACAGATGTTTCTATAGACCTTGGCAGATGACACTCTGGAGACAAGAGGCAAATTAGTGCCCCAGGAGTAGTCACATCAGCACTGGTGCTGTCAAAAATAATGCTCTCAGAAAAAGACAAAATGGATTGAGATCTTGCCTTTGTGCATGAATAAAGGGCACCCATAAATTTTGTTTCCTTACTAACAGCATGTGAGCAACACTTTTTTCCTACTCATGTGCCGGTAAGTCACCTGCTCTGTTCCAGAAACCACAGTCCACGTTTGCTTTCATTGTCTCCTTACCTGGCCCTCCTCCGCCCGAGAGGCATCGTTCCCAAGCAGTGGCTCCGCAGGAGGTGTCTGGATAGTGACAGACTTCTCAGACCGACTGCCATCTTTGCTTCGTGGTGATTTGTGCCTGTCCCGACTCCTTTTCCAAACAGCAAGAGGAGAACAACATTACCAGGTAGTTTCTGGAGCAGGGCCTGGAATCTGCCACACCTTCACTTGCAGCAGGTGCCCTAAGCATTAGGTTGTGGTCATGCCTGCCCATCTCTTGATCAATACTGACTCAATCTGTGACAAACTTTGGAAGAGGCAGAAAGGGCCCTTGCCCAGAGCAGCCTACAGCCTGGTGGCTGAGACAGTCTACACTCTCTGTGATTGGGAAGGGGAGCAAAGGAGACAAGGGTACATCCCCACCACCTCATCTTCTCTTAAAACAACTTCTGCCAGTGCTGCACTTGAAAGAGAAGCTTGCATTCTCCAAACAACAGGCAACTCCATTTGGCATTAACTGGTCTACACAGCTCTCCAACAGCAATCAAGTGTCTCACAGACACATGTACAGTTAACACAAGGAACTGACCAAGACAACTTTAGTTCCCACAATGTAGAGTCTACTCAGCTAGGACCTTAGCACTGTAGGAAAATTGGTGAACTTTATTTCTGCTGGTTAATAACTCCCAGTTAATCTCTTAGAAAGATAGCAAGAACATCAAGGGTACCAGGCTACTGCTTACTTCCAGAGTACCCTTGTAGGCCTCATGGCTTCTTGGTTTTGAGAACACCTCAAGATGAGTTAAGCCCCACCAATTTTTTTTCCACATTCCTACCTGGACAGGAAAGCAGCAGAGACCCTCACTGTGCTCAGGGGCTGGCTTAAAGCTCAGCAGCATCCAGTGTCCCAACTCTGCTCTCTCCAATGCATTTCTCTTGGAATTACCAAATACCAGAGGTTTCAAGGCACAAGACTTTTTCCTGTTTGGAGTAAGGCTCTAGGATATTTGTGTCGTTTTGGGAACTCTGAAGGCATCTTTTCACATGGCATTCTAAGCTTCAAAGGGCAATCCATATCGGGGGTGGGAGTGTTAACGAAGGGAGAAAAGGCAAATGAGATGTTTTACTCGGTAACTGGATTGCAAGCAGAGAGACTTCATTTCATGGAGGAATTATTTTTCCAACTACACAGGATAAATTGCTTCCAAAATGCAAAGTTATTTTTGACCAGCTCAGTTCTAAGTTGCTAAGACTGTTAAGAGGCACACATTTTACAAGTAAAACTAATGAAGATGCAGAGGAAAAAAAAAAAAAAAAGGATAATGTTTCCAAGTAATCAGAAGTTTCAGAGCAAGATGTTTTTTGAGGTTGCTGAACCACAACAGAGAGGACTTGCTATTCAAGTTCAGAAAAGCCTGACTTCTAATCCAATCAATGCTGATAAAGAACTTGTGGACTCAAGTACCACTCAAATTCTATTAAAAAAACCCAAAACAAAACAGCACACCAGCAACAGAGTAGACAGAAGGATGGTGTAGAGAGATAGGAAACCTCATTATTACATAATAAAGAAATAGCATCAGAAGAGAAAACAACTGGCAATTATCAGTTTAGGAAGTCTGGCACGTCTTCTCCCCAGACACTATTCCCTTGCACTTTAAGAGCAGAGTTAAAGTGATCTTTTCCTTCTGCTGGTGCCATCCCAATCTTTCCAGTCATACATGACCCCAGCATGCATCCAGCAGGTTGAATATAATTAAATTAAGCAGCATTATTGCTTCTAGTCTCCTCATGAGGACCCTCCACATGTATCTCCTCCAGAGCTGTGGCCCCACCGATTTCATTCTGGCTTACAATTTTATTTTTTTTTTTCCAACAGGACATGCCTTAGCTTAGAACAGTAAGTAATTAAAAGTAAATGCTTCCTTACCCTTGTCTGTGGGCTTTTTTGGAGTGACCTGAGTAGTGGGAGTATCCCGAGTATGTTGATTCTGTATCCATTGCAGCAGACATGGGGTCTGCACAGAAGGGGCACAGATTTTACTTAGAAGATGAGTTTCTGATGCTCCTGAGGTGGAGTCCGTGGTAAAAGTGCTTTCTTGGGTACTCTTTGCTTCCCAGTCATCAGTGAGGTTGGTCCTCAGAGAGCGAGTGAGCTTCACTTACAAGGAACTTGACCAGAAGGGAGGGGAGGGAGGGTGCCTGGCTTCTCACAATCGACCTAAGGAAAGAGAAACAGGTATGGAAGTGCATTCTAAGCAAAGCAAGATGTCATTCCTACTGCAGCAATTCCCTCACCCTGGCCACATATCACCACTCATCATGCTGTTCCCAGTTTGCAAGCTTGTCCCGGCCAATATCTCTTTCCAGTCTAGTAAAACACATACATTTGTAGAGCTTTAAACAAAATGTATCTCTGTTTTGCAAAGTCTAGCCCCTTCATCTAAAAAATCCAGAAGAAATGTCTTCAAGTCACCTGGAAAAGATGGTGACTTAGAGAAGGCTCAGCAGCCTAGATACAAAAACTCACTCCCAGAAAAAGTACAGGGCTCAGTTTTCACAACCCCATCTCTTCACCTGTGTAACACGCAGCCCAAATATCCCCTGACTCAGAACAGCAGCATTACAGCCTATACATAAGGGGAAGAGGGGGGATGGGGGGGGTGAGGGTGACTTTCCTAGAAGAAATGCAGGAGAGGATCAGACCACCATGTCTGAACCTGCATTGTTTTCACAACTGCAAGGTGTGCCCATTTTACAAGCATTAGTTACTATACAATCAATGGCACTATGAGCACCTCCCTTTCTTTGTAACCTTTCCCTCCAGAAGCTAATTTAGGCCTTGATGAATTGAATTTTATTAAAAATTGTCTCTATATATACACATACTAAGAACACCGGGGAGAGCTGATTAGAGATCACATGTAGCTTATATGGGCCAATGCTTCTTACAACGTATTTCCATTTGGAACAGAAGCTTAAGTGCCATCCATAAAGGGCAGAAGAGAGTCATGTTTTTTGGAACAGGAGCAGGGCAACATCAGAACAATTCCCAGCAGTGACAGGTCAAAAACCCTGAACCCTGTGGGGAAGAAGGTGCAACACCATCCCGCTTTCCAAACCCACATCCTGTGTTAGATGAGAATAGAAATGGTAAAGAGGGGATTTAGTCACCGGTTTGGGGAAATGCATGCAAATGGCAAAGAGGTGCAGACGGAGGGGTTGCAGCTACGGGTGGAGGTACCTTGGTACAGACCAGTGTTTGGCATGCGGGAGCACTCTCACATGCCTCCTGCCCAGACTGCTGCCTCCAGCCAACAGGACTACAGCCATGCCGTATGTTGAGAGCAGGCAAAGAACGCTTTAAAATTAAATTAAATCCCTCCGTTATTTTCTGCTCACAGCAGTTTTCAAAGCTGTTAGCAATAAAATAGTCAACCACTGCTTTCAGCCCTCTCCCTCCCCAAACACAGAGGGACAGCAACAGAAATCAGGCTTCATACTTGGCCAGCTATTCTTTCCAGACATAAGATTCCTCCACTAACACCTCCAGAAAAAGCTTGTAACCAAGCACAGAGCTCTACCACGCGCAAGCCATGCCAAAGAATGAAGCCTCTTCCCCACAGGGCTCCTTGACTGGTGGTGTGATCTGCAACAAAGTACTGAAGCGTTCCCGCTGCATCACAAGCTGCAGGTATCTGCACAATGCTTGTGCTTGCCAAGGCTCTTGGAGAGGAGAAGGCAGGGAGGACCTTTTGGGTACAGGAATTCCCTAGCTCTAAGCGCTTCTCGTGCCTGCAGAAAGCTCCTTAAAGGCAGCAGAGAATCTAGGAAGGACAAATAAGGATGGGAACGTAAGGCCGTTTGGCGAGGGAAGGAATGAGGATGGATTTAAACACAACAAAACATAAAGCCAAGTCACGGCAGTATGGAAAATGGCATCGTTACTGTAACAGGAATAAAAATCCCCCAGCCTGGGACACATGATGTTACCACTGGTTAACTCCCTAGACTTGCACACAGCCTGTAGTGTATGGCTCCAGCAATAGGCTGGGACTCGTTAAAGCTGATTTTTACCTCTGTCCTGCTAGGCAGTCACAGAAAAAATCCTTCCACTGTCTCTGTCCTCTGATAAATGGGGGTGAGGCCACCACCCCCCACCTTCAAAAAGTGCTGTGATACCAACAAATGAGATGGCTACACAGACCTTTCAATCACCAGGCATTAGAAACCAGAAACACCTTCCGTTGGACAAAAGGTGTAAGTATTATACAGGCTTAAACCACTGACTGATGTTACTGGAGTCCCTTTGAGAACCATCACTCTCTTCACAAATACATACCACCACATTACAGGAATAGGAAAAGCAAGGAAACCTGCCAGCATACATCAGTAAGGGTTACACATTTTTCCTGGGCGTCTAGGAAAGCATCAACTCCCAGCCTTTTCCTCTAACCACATAAAAATTTCCCCCCCCCCAACTCCCAGATAGAAGAATCGGAGCCAAGACAGGGACTGGGAACAGAGCTCCCCTTCTGAGCCCTCTCACCCCCAGCAGCACAGGGTCACACTTCTCAGAAGAGGCGAGAGAACATTTCAGCAGGCAGAGGCTGCTGTGGAAATTCACAGGCTGCCTAAACAGGCACCATGAAGCAGCAGCACCTATTTGACAGTGGGTGAAGCAAGGCAGTGCTGGGCACTAGGCAGAGAAAGCAGACTTGTGGGAAGACCAACACAGGAACGTCGGGGCAGGCTGGATCATGCCAACTTTCGTTTTCTGTGTAAACAAGAACAATGGTTTTGACACAGCTCCGCGAAAAGTCAACAGGGCGGCCCCCCGAAAATGTTAAGTCTCCTGGATAGTTGTCAAAAGCAGTACAATGAATTTAGGGACTCTGCACCACCTCCTTGCCCCAGCTGCAGGACACACTGGTGGCTAAATAGATCTTCCTGCTGAGGCAGTTAGAGAGCTGCCGGGAATAAAACATACCTGCCCAATTTCAGCTGGAAAAAGCAGAAGACCACTGGCTTTGTCTGGTGCCCAAGTGAGGCTGATCATCAAGAAGACTTCCTAGATTTGGCCTGCACTGATAGCTGGACACCACTCCCAGCCTGAGCAGGATGGGATGAAGAAACCAAGGAGGAAGGAGCACAGTCCAAACACATGTTTCTCATAGCCAAGACAAGCAGGTTACCTACTTCTTGGTCTACTTTAGAACAGGAAGGGGACCAGCCTTCTGGCAGAAAAGCTTTTGAAACTACTAGGGAAGAGGTAGTGAGGGGACCAGAAGACAACTAACATGTTAAACTGCTTCTCTGGGTTGAAGCTCTTTCAATGGCATAGACAGAAGTTAACTCTGGATTAGCCACCAAGCCAATAGTGCTCACCACTAGAGCCTAAGCAAAGCTAGAGAAGACAAGTCGTACACACATTCTTCATAGAACAACCATATCCAGGCTAAGACCTCCCCTACTAAATCACTATTAATGACGATTCCTACCCTACCCATCTAGGCAAGGACAACCGTGCTGTGTAAAGAAGCAACCCCATCATCTGGGGCCTCATGCCTTCACAAACAAGTGTGAATCAAGAGACCAATTTAGCCAACTGAAACGGCTTCACAAAAGATCATTACATCTCACAGGACTCCAGTGTCTCCATGCTCTGTTTGCAGAGCTTCTGGCTCCGTATGAAAGAAAGCTCCTTCAGCCCAAGGGTACGGTTGCACTGTATTTTGGTGTTGACAACAAAGCCGGTGTTAGTAGCTTCCACCTCCGCACCACAGCTCACCACTTTTGGTTGTGTCAACACAATTCTCAGCGAGCAAACAGCACTGCTGGAAAACAAAACAAAAAGTCCCTTTTCTCCCCCTTGCCACGCTTTTGTCTCGGATCCCTTCCGTGACCTAGTTCACAGCACAGCCCCAAACAGCAAAACCAACACCAGGGTGAATAACAGCACAAATGAATGGCTAGAGGAGAGGTGGGAATGCCTCCTCCCCTCCAACCACAGCAATTGCGTAACTGCACACCCAGCACTTCACTCCTAGTAGGGCCAGCGCTCTCACTTTGCCTTTCCCTTACCAGTGGCTGAAAGATGCCAAGTACTATATGGAAAACAATGCTAAGGATGCCCCTGAGGAAATTTTGGGACCCTATTCAGGCAAGAAGGATGGCTGCATCCTGCATAACAGTGGAGAAATGTAGCTACCCCTGAATACCACAGTAACTGTAATTACAGTTTCTACGCAGCTACACAACTCATTGTAACTCCCTCTTTTCATATGCTCATAAATCTCCAAAAAAAGAGTTCTTTTGAATCACTATTTTCCACGCTGGGAGCTCAATGCCATTTCCAATGAAGTTCGCTTTGTGATTGTCTTCAAGGGAGCACAGTTTGGCACCCAGCCCAAGGGAAATTTAAAAGAGCAAGTTACATCTTTAAATCAAAGAGGGCAAATGCAAACAAGAGCACTCTTACATCCCATGCTTTCCCGATGGATTTTCCCCTGTGAAGTTGGGGCAAATAACTCCAAAGCATCTCTCACTTAGCTTTAAAATCCTTGTGTGTAGTTTCAATCTTACTCCATTTAAAACTTGCAGTCAATTAAGAGTTGATTTACCAGTCGGTTCATGAAGTTACTTATATTTGGAAGTGCCATCTGGAACACGAGCAGCCACAAGTGTCCATGAGGATGTGCACACATTCAGCTCAGTAGGCTGTCAGCCTCACTTGTTAAACCACACCAGCTGTCTACAGGGTAACGGATGCCCATGAGCTATCGCAACAAGAAGTCTTTTTTCTTCCTTTACTGAAATGAAGAACTTTACAAATTAAACATGCAGAACTCCAAATACCAAGCTATGGGACAGTGTTAGGGTTCAAGAATAAAAAAAATAATTAAAAGATGGCTAAGCAGCGAGAAAGACTTCTAACTATGGCATTAACCTGGCTGCACGGTACAACTGCAGCTTATTCCTATTATTCACTTCAGAAAAACCAGAAGTTACGTAACTTGCTACGTTCAACTGCATATATAGTAAGACCTATGAGCAATGCCACTGGAACCTTTTGCTTTTGGATTTCTTGAGCAGGCCCCAATCCAGCAATTTGATCTGTAAAGACAGAAGTTCACCCATGCTTATCTACTTGCAGAGCCAAGGCTTTCAGTTTTAACAGCCAACCAGCTTTGGGAAACCATCTTTTTCCTAAAAGCTTTCTACTTATATTTGCATGTCATTAAATAAGGTTAATTTTCACCTTCAAAAAAACAAAAAAAAACAAAAACCAAAAACCAGGGCTTTTACTCTATGGTGGTGTCTCCTGATTTCCAAGCCCCTCATCCTAAAAAAATGTTTAGTAGTCAGCAAATTCAAGCCCTCTAGCAATAGGTTGTCTTGTCTTTTGCTTCTCAGTGGCTTCTTAGAAAGATTTCATAGACCCCTAGGAATTTCCAGCCCCCAGGCTGAAAACCATTAGTCCATGACATGAATATTTCAAAAAGAAAAGTCACTTGGTTTAATGAAACAATCCACCTGCGTGTTTAATCAGAACATGCAACAACACAGGTCTGAAAACAGCAAGGCTGTTCCAAGTGACAACAGAAACACCCAGCCAAAACCACCACCCAAGCAAGCCATGTTTCTAAGCAATAAGCCCCAGCCTCTTGACCCTCTGTAACACAGCTGGAAGTTGGGAAGTTCTCTGCGTGGAATCCACTGGTGAAGCACCTCCCCGGAGGATGTCCTTTGCCCATGCCAAGGACCACGTCTGCACTGTCCAAGTTTCTGATGCACAAGCTGCATTCAAGCCCATCATGCAAATGAAACCTCGGGGCCAACCCGCCAAGCTGGTGAAAGCTTGTGCTTCCTCCCTCGTACATCTGTGTCGCTAAATCTTGAAGGGCACCTCTTAACCCCAGAGCCATGCCACATGGCAGAGGGTAGAGCCTCACCCTCATGATCCTAGAGCACCTGGGACTGTGCACAGGAACAGGGTTTTCCATACTGACATTTAAAGCCCAACAGCCTTACTGAAACAAACAGGGGAAAGACTCTTCCAAGACTCTTCAGACTCTGCCTATCCAAGCTGGCAGTACCTGTACCTTACTCTCAAAGTTTACTTTAGGCATAGCATTAAAGGAGATAAATTACAAAAGGTTTCTCTACTGAAAGTACAAGGTCTTAATTTGTCCTTCCAGTCATCTTGACTTAGCTTCTTAACTCTTTACAGCTGCAAAGATCTTGCGGGTAATTCACTGACAAACCCAGGGCTAAAAAACGCCACTGCTTCGAGCACAGAAATCACAGAATCATCTCGGTTGGAAAAGACCTTGAAGCATCTCCAGTCCAACCATTAACCTCACACTGACTGTTCCCAACTCCACCAGATCCCTCAGCACTGGGTCAACCCGACTCTTCAACCCCTCCAGGGATGGGGACTCCCCCCCTGCCCTGGGCAGCCCATTCCAACGCCCAACAGCCCCTTCTGCAAAGAAATACTTCCTAAGAGCCAGTCTGACCCTGCCCTGGCACAGCTTGAGGCCATTCCCTCTTGTCCTGGTGCTTGTTCCTTGGCTCAAGAGACTCATCCCCACCTCTCTGTAACCGCCTTTCAGGGAGTTGTAGAACAGTCAGACCATCGCTAATGCTGCCTCCCCATACTAAAAACCCCGCCATCGAGTCCTTCACGCTCTCGTAGCCCGGGAAATCACAGCGTTCGGCATAAGAGAGTTGGTTTACGACCCTGACAGTCTTCTAAATGAGAAAACAGTGTTGTTTCAGAGCGGCTCTCCGAAAACGTGCCGTTACTGAAACCGCACAGCTAATGCAATAGCTTTGCCCTCTGTTGGGCGCGTTCAGAAGCAGGAGCTCTGCATCCCAGGCCGGCCCTACCAAAGCAGAAGGACACTATCCTCTCGAGGGCTGTCCCCGGAGCAGGTTTATCTCCGGCCACGCCAGCCAGAGCTTCCCATACCGTAACTCGCGAAACGGAAACCAAGCGCTCGGTCCTGCGAGCCCCCGACTTTGGGCATCACCTCCGCGGCCAAGCTAGCCTCGAATCTAAGCAGCGAGGCGGGATTGTGTCCTCCCTCCCCCCAGCAGTGATCCCCGAAACATAAAGCAGCTCGTTTCATACAATCCGGGCGTTTGAGGGGTCCCG